TCGAACCTTTGTTCACTACTAGTGGAAGTATAAAATGGTGCAACCATTAAGGAAGGTGGCTTGGTGCTTTCTCAAGAAATTGGAAATAGACATACAATTTGACCCAGCATGCAACAACTGTGAATATACACTACAGAAACCATAACTGCCATGCAGACAGATGTACACACACGTTTATTGCTGTGTTAGTCACAATATCAAAGAGATGGAAGCAACCCAAGTACCTACCGACAAATGAATGGATAGAAAAACTATGGTATATTCATATAATGGAATACTACATAGCACAGAAAAAGCGTGAACTCATAAAACATTATACAACATGAGTGACCCTGGAGGACATTATGCTGAATGAAATATCTCAGTCACAAAAGGACAAATACTGCATAGCACCAGTATTATAAAGCAGGTCTGACATGGTGGACTGGGAGGAGCATAGGATAAGAGTGGAAAGATAGCTGCAGAACAGATAAAGGAAAGAACTGTTTAAAAAGAATATGTGATTAGACAGTATATGTATGACAACAGTCCAGAATAAAAGGTGCCTTGCAAAGAGGACTAAGAGAGGGGGAGGGGAGGGGAGGGAGGAGAAATGTGCAACAATGAATGAATCAAAATTTAACTTTTCTGTAGTCTTTCATTAAAATCACTATTCAGATTTTTTTATAAAAAGTTGTGTTGGTGTTTTTGTTTTTTTTTAAATACACAGGAATGTAATAAACCTTTCTCCCTAGGGAGTCAAACATAATTGCTCCCACTCCTGTTCTCAACTCTCTCCACCCAGACACAAAGCCTATCTTTATGGAGCATTTATACTATTTCTGGTAGGTAGCTGATTAATGGCAACATCGTCTTGGTCACATTCATTTCTCCTGCTGCCGGGGCTAGGTATGAGAGGTGATTTCTTGGAATCACAGGATACTAGTCCTTGACTCACCATCCTGGCCCATCCCAACCACATGAGCCTGTAACTCTTCGTATTTTTTGGACATCATTCACTCTCTCAAAAATTGTATCATGCTGCAGTCATCTTCACATATTTTCCAGAGAAGCTAGACTATAATCTCAGTACTGCTGGTAAACCCTATTGGGTGATATTGTTCACTAGCTAAGCTTGGTGAAGGGAGCTCTGGTAGCCTAGTGGTAAGAAGCTGCACTGCATTCCCAAACGCACGCAGTTTGAAACCACCAGCTGCTCCACTTGAGAAGGATGGATGAACTCCCTCTTTCTAATTCGTGACTCTGAAAACCCACTGGAGAGTGAGCTATGAGTTGGTCTGACTTGATGGCACATAACAAGAAGCTTTGAGTAGCATGATTTATGCAAAGCACCAACTCAAAGTCCATACTCTCTGTAATTAACAGTATATATTAGCTTGCTTATGCTATTCAATTTCCAAAATGTTCACATTGTCAAAGTTTGAAAAGCTTATTGTGGAATTTGGATAAAAGATCAAACTTGGGTTTTCTCTGTGCTGATTCAGGGCTTTCATATTTTCCTCTCTCCTGACACTATCTTTTTGTTTTATCTACTCTTACATGTAACAAACATTCAACAGTGCCAACAATAAATACATACCTAAAACAAGTGTTGCCGTAGGGCTGAGGAAAAAAAGCATGAAAATTACAAACAAGGACTCTCTTCTCATAGTAAACTACTTCTGGTGCCAGGCACTGAGCTGGTGGAGATGACATTCCTTTTCTCAAGTAGTTTGTAGTACATTAAGAGAAATAGATATCCATGCAAACAGCCTCACAGGATAATGTGAGCACCACAGCTCCTGCCCCTTAGTCCTGTCTTCCCAAAGTTCTGTGGAGCTGGATAGTATTTCTGTAGTCCTACCTATCATAAGATGCTGATCTATTGATCTCTACCCATGACATGGTTAATTGCTTGTGGTTAGCATGCATTCTCATTGGCCACCACTTATGTGGCACTAATTATTACTTTTTTCCCCCTATCTTTCCTGGATGCTATAATGCACTTACTGAGATCCTTGTGCCAAAGTCTATTTTAAGGCCTGGGATCCAATGTTGAACAAGAGAGATGGTGCCTACTCTTAGGGAGTTTGCCATCTAGTTACTGGATTTCAATGTTTCATTGAAGTTCTTTGTGAAACATGTTTAATGTAGGCCATTTGTCTTCTTAGGAAGTGAGAAGGTTACATTAGTGGTGAATTTTGAAGACTGGGGAGTGGATTAAGAAATGAGTGAAATTCTATGTTACAGAAACGAAACCTATGCTAGTATTAACATGATGAGTGTTGATTGAGGGAACACTGTAGTATATGTCCCTTCCAGCGCCTTGGCCAGGTAGGACAATTCCTACACTCCGGAGGTCATAGAATGCCTCAGATGCCACGCTGAGGAGTAAAGGACTAATAGTTGAAAGGTTTGCAGCAGTAATGCTCAGATGTGCCAGGATCTCCCTCATCCCACAAGTAATCATGCCATCAGTGAAATGAAAGGAATAAGGTGAAGTGCTAAGGACATAGGATGGATAGCACTACATAGTAATTTGGAGGCTTAAATAACAAAAGACAACTGACAGGTGAGATGTAGGTTCCAGTCCTATCTAAATGGTGAAGCTTTCAGAAAGTGAGAATGTCTAGGAAGAGAAAGAGACTTCAAAGGGGGGGGAGATAGGTTCAGTTTTTAATTGTTGTATTTGGCAAGTCCCATTGTCAGCCACAGAAAGATTTATTACTCACAATCAGTGCAAGTAATAGAAATTTTGAGAACTATAGCTTTAAAATTGTAATCAAGTCCTTGAATGTGGATGTGAATAGCCAAGCTGAAAGAATAAGAAATGAAGGGGACTAGGGACTGATTCCATCGAAGTTCTTTGCTGGTCCAGTGCTCTCTTGGCCATGCAAATCCAATTTACTCATTCTACTGCCTCTGTGAAATTGTCTTTAATTTTCCTCGACAAAATCCTCCTCCCTAGCCTCTGCCCTCTCTCCTAGCTCTTAACAAAACTTGCCTTGGGTTCTAATTAGCTGTGGATGGGCCCACCTTTGTGTCTGAGTTTGTAAGCTCCTGAAGAATATGCACAATTTATTTAACTCTGTATGAATCTCACATAGTAGATGGTCAGTGAACTAGTCTCTAACTGTGTGTGTGTGTGTGTGTGTGTGTGTGTGTGTGTGTGTGTGTGTGTGTGTACTTTGTGCCACTTAATAATCACAACAGCTCTATGAGATGCTTGGTGCAAATGGTTAAGAGGCATGACTTCTAACAAAAAGGTTAGAGGTTTTAATTCATCCAGAAGCATCTCCAAAGAAAGTTCTGGTGATCTCCATTGAAAACTGTTTATTGATATTTCTATTGTTTAACAAATGGAGTTGCCAGCGGTTGACATTGATTCAGTAGCAGCATCAAGAGATGTGCTTGTGCATGTGTGAGTGTGAAAGAGAAATAGGACATACTTTGGTCATGTTGCAAGGTGGGATCAGTCCTTGGAGAGGGATGTGATGCTTGGGAGGATAGAGGAACAGCGCAGGAGAGGAAGACCTTCTATGAGATGGATTAATTCAGTGACTGGGATAATGGGGATAGGTGTGTTGGAGACGAGATTGGCATGGGATAGGGCAGGGTTTAGGGCTGTTGTACATAGGGTCACTATGAGTTGCAGGTGACTCAATGGCATGTAACAACAACAACAAAAATATGAAGCAGAGATCGAAGCAGATTATGCAGTCAGTGAAGGTAATTGCTCTAAATTGAGTCCAGGGTTGTCTGACTCTAAAATCCATGACCTTTCTACTATGCATTGCTCACTACTGTCAAGTTCATTCTGATTCAAAGATCTCCTGTCGGAGTTGAACTGCCTTACAGGGTGCCTTGGTGGAAGTGCTCGACCACATCTTTTTCCTGTAGAACAGCTGGTGGGTTCAAGAGTTCAGACCTCTGACCTGTTAGCATCTGGACACTTAACCAGTGCACCACCAGGATGCCCAGCTCATTCTCTTCTCAGTACCATTGAGTTAGAGCTGACTCATGGCTGACTCTCTAGAGAGTTTTTTTTTTAAACTTAAACTTTTTTTTTATTAATTTCAATGAGCATTTACAGAGATTGTGAATTTCTATTCATTCATTGTTGCACTTTTCTCCCCGCCCACCCCCCCAACTTTATTTTTAGTTTTAAAAAATTATTTGGCTCATAAATTTCTCAGTTAAATTGAATGTGATTTTTTTTACAATTTTTTATTTTTTATTTTTATTTTTACAGAGGTTTTGGATTTCCATTCATTCATTGCCGCAATTTTCTCCCTTCCCACCCCTCCCCACCAGCTTCTAGAGAGTTTTACAGACACAGTCAATCACATGGGAGGAGATTGCCCATCTCCTGTGGAGCAGCTGATGCGTCACACTGCTTGTCTTTGAGTTGGTGGTGCGGCTCCTTTCCTGTCTGGCCACCAGACATCCCCCTTGTCTATTAGCCCTACTGAATTCAACAACATCTTCTCTCTTATTTTTGTAATGAGGGCTTAATAACTCATTATGGAAGCAACATAATTTATAATTATTATAAAGAAAAAGGTACCCGATAGTGAGGGGAGGTATGAAAATTGCCACAATTTTAGGGAGCTTATTTTATCTTTACCAGATGGGGGGTGGGGAATCTCCCTGGACAGAGTTGAACCAGGTCTCAATAAGGTACCACAGAGTCAGCATTGCAAACACAGAGCCTGGAAAGCCTTGCCTCTTGTTCCAACTTCTGATTTGGAAACAACTCTGTCCATTGCTGCTGCGTCACATAGACTCATTGTGACCCTGGAAGGCAAAGCAGAACTGTTCCACGGGGGTCCTGACACTGGGGATCTCCATGGGAGCTGATTGCCACACCTGTATGCCATGGAACAGCCTGTAGGTTCAAACTGTTACTCCTTCAGTTAGCAGCCCAAAGCTCAGTCCACTGCAGATTCCAAATCTCTCTGCCATGCCCATTTCCTGGCCTCATAGAATTATGTGTCTTTTGTGTGTTGTTGTCTTCTTAGGTTTGCTGAAAAGCCCAGTGAACAAGACAGCCCTGACACTGATTGCTGTCAGCTCCTGCGTCCTGGCCATGGTGTGTGGCAGCCAGATGTCCTGCCCGCTCACTGTGAAGGTGACTCTGCACGTGCCGGAGCACTTCATTGCAGATGGTAAGAGCCAAGCATCAGAAATGCTCCACCCCACTTAGCACCTTGCAACCCCAGTTGGTCAGATGACCTCTGTGCATGACTAACCTCAGAATTTCATTGCAGAAAATTAAAAGCATACCAATTCACCTTGGAACTGGCCCTATCACTTCGAGTTCTCTATTCTTTGAATTGAACAAAAGATTGCTGTTATTCTATGGGCACTATAGTATTCAAAGATTAGTATTTGCTAAATATATGAAGAAGTCAAATGTGATTACAGAAGTCAACATTGAGTGACTACTTCAGAGAAACTGTTGTGTCTTATCATGCCTGTGGATAATCTTCCTGACTAAAAATAGCATTCTAAAAAGAATATTTATTATATAAAATCATTTGACAGGGAGAGTGATATGAGCTTGCTGGAATTTCTAGCATGTTCTGGAGTATAATCATATCTCACTTCCTTTAAACGTATTTTGGAAACATCTTACATCCTACCATTTTTACTCTGCACTCTATTAATTTTAATTAATGAGATACTGTAGTCACTATAGTCATTCACAAAGCATGGTCCAGGAGATTGATTAATGTACTTTATAGCTATTGCTAAAGTGCCCTTTGTAGAATTTATTGCAGTTTACATCTTTCAGCAGGAAAACATGGTGCCTTAGTCCCCGGACCCTTGTTCACACCTGTCACTACTTTTCTTAAATGTGTTGAAGTTTAGCACAAAGGCAATAAAGAAAACATATCTTAAGTTTGCAGCTTAGTAAATTTTTGAGTCTATGCAGACTAAATGATAAAAAACTCAATTCATTGTCATTGATCAAAACCATTTCATAACAGATCCTCTAGTGAGTTTTCAGAGGTCTATGAGGTGGATTGATTCAGTGACTTGGGTAATCAGGATGGGTGTATCGGCGACAGTGCGATTGGCACAGGACAGAGCAGAGTTTAGGGCTGTTGTACATAGGGTCGCTATGAGTCGCAAGCGACTTGATGGCACATAACAACAACAACAACAACATATATCATGCTAGAGGAAATGACCCATCTTTCTCCCATGGAAGAGCTGGTGGATTTGAACCACCTGCCTTAGATTTGACAGCACAATGTCTTATCTGCTAAGCCACTAGAGCTCCCAAGATCAAATAATAAAATATTTTCAGCATCTTAGAGGAGTCTTTCATGGCCCTTGCAGTTACCTCTTTCCAGGGGTAACCACCATTCTGATTTCTTGTACCACAGAAGAAGTCTTTTTTTTTTAATATATTTTTCCATTAAATTTATTTGCATTTGAGATACTCACTTTGGATTTGTCAGCTTTATTTTAATGTACCTCACTGTTACCACCAGCTTTTTAATCACTATGTTTGTGACTTAGCGCAGTTTTCTTACCAGAGCACATGTGGTGTTTTTGCCCTTTTCTCTGAAGCACCCAGCTTCCATTAATGTATCCTTTGATTCCTTCCACTTGACTGTAGTGAAGTGGCCCCTGCTTGTTTTTCACTTGAACTGAAAATAGGTTGTGTTTTTCAAAGTGTATACTAAGTTGAATTTTTTACCTAAGCACAAAGCATAAAAGATGATGACATATACTCTGGACAAGTGACTAGAAGGGTCTGTCCCGTGGAGAAGGACATCATGTTTGTCAAAGCAGAGGGTTAATGAAAAAGAGAAAGAACTTAAAACAAGATAGGGTGACAGAGTGGCTGAAGCAGTGGGCTCAAGCATAGCAATGATTTTGAGGGCGGTGTAGTGTCTCCTTTTGTATGAGTCTCTCACAGGTTCACTATGAGTCAGAATTGAATTGATGACATGTATCAGGAATGAGGCTTTTGCATTGTGCCTATCAAGTTGTATGTGCACATAAAACATACAGACATGTCAGTGTCATACGGTATGGTCGGAAGGCAAAAGGAGCAACTCACACAGAGGTTGACAAGTAGGCTAATGGAGCATGAGGCTGAGAGAATGCTCAGAATCAGGGAATTAGTGGGATGTGGGGACGGAAGAATGGAAGTGGTGGTCATTTAGGATGGAGGGGCTAGTAGAACAAGTCTTCACTGCTATTAAAGGCAAGTTATTTCCCTCACCAGTCCCCACTCACCAGCTTTAGCAATCCAACTCATAACTATTTCATTTTATACGTGAAATGAAGGTCCTTGGAGGCTGTGTGCCTTGCTCAAGAACAAAAGAGCAAAAATGGGTAAGAACACAAGGTTTAGCACAATACAAAAATGGATTCAAATACTTGTTCTCTCATTTACCGTGTCAGTGGCCAGATGATAACTTTTCCAAACCTCGGTTTCTGTACCTATAAAATGGGAGACAGTCACAGTGAACAAGTTATGTCATGAAGAATACAGCTTCCACCTCTATGTTTAGGCAATTTTTAGACGTCGTGTCACTGGGAAATAGCAAATTTAAGAGTGACCATCAGGGCAAGCCACATGAAATGCTCTGGATGTCTTGGAAAGATCTTCTTTAATGTGATAAATTGAAAACTGTCTTTTTGCCCTGTCGTCATTATTCTTGCCTTGCTTGTGGATTTAGAACCTTAAACCTGCCTGTGGACCTGTCTGTTTCCTCTTCTAGTCTAGAATCGCTGTAAGTCAGTCATCATGGGTGGCAATGTTGCATCCTTGATCGTTACGGCGGTTGGTCCTCCGTGGAATTCAAAATATAGTTTGAAGGAATGAACGGAGCTTAAATGAAAGCGAAATTATCAATATTTTGTAGGATTTGTCTACAAAACCCATAAGCACGTTAAAAGAGACTGAATGGAGGAAAAGTAGAGCACACAGTGTACAGAGATGGATGAAGACTACACGTAACCACAGGCTGTGCACATGCTGGCTGTGGGATAGAGCAGGCAGCTGGTAGCCCTTGGAGAATCCAGCCCCACTGAACTTGCATCCTCAAGTCATTGTGGAATCTCCTGGCCCTGGATGCCGTGATGTCTTCATCATGAATGCATCCTTTGAAATGAGATGAGTTTCATTTAAAATCTAAGTTCCATTGCTTAGTTGTTTGGAAAGCTTGAAAAGACAGTTCTATTCCCCAACTCTTATTTTTCAATTGGAAAAAAGGGTTAATTTATTAAAATTAGATGCTCCACTATTTGTAAAATGACTACTTGTTCTTAAGTGCCATCCAGTCAGAATTAGCTCAGAGCTGACCCTCCAGCAGGGTGTGGAGATACAGGGTGTACAGGAGAGGAAGACCCTGGGTGAGATGGAATGACATGGTAATGGGGTAACAGGGGTAGGGGTGTCAGAGACAGTGTGACTGCTCAGGATAGAGCAGGTTTCAGAACTGTTGTACACTGTGAGTTGCAGGCAACTCAATGGCACATAACAACAACAAGTCACACAGGAGGACAGTCTCCAACTTTCAAGCGTGGAGCAGATAGTGGATTTGAACATTGTGCCTTTGGGTTGGCAGCACAACTCTTTATCACTAGGCCACTGGAGCTCAAAATAACTCATAGCTTGTCTGAAACATTTTAGTGGCCTAATATGGAAACAATTTTTTAAAAAAACTCAAAAAATCAAACCATTGAAGAGATAGATGGCAGAAACTACGAAATTTCTGGACTAGTGAAATTGGTGAAAGTAGCTATTCTTTTTGGGAAATGGACTAGGGAATCCACTGCATGGCCAGTCTCCCCAGATGCAACTGATGTGAACACATGACAATATTAACACTTGATGGTCTCAGTCATCTGGGCGTGAACACGATTTCTGAGTCCCTACCCTCAGCATCGTGTCAGTGTTTCCTCTAGGGCAGATATTCTGTAGGCATGACTCACTCTATTCCCACACTCACTCTCCAAAACAGTTTTTATTTAACCAAATGACAGATAAAGAAGAATTTAGTCTAGTCTTCTGTGGGTGTAGGGAAGCCTCCACCAAGGACCAGTTTTTATATATTGGACAAGCGAGACTTGTACTTCTGATTCTTGGAATTATGTGTGTGGAGGGTAGATAATTACACTAAGTGGGAGACAAAAGGCAAAGGGCTTATTTTGTATCATGTGCCTGTTTCCTTGAACTCTTGCCATCACTTGGCACTAATAGTTTTAAATGTATTAGCTCTGACATAAATACAGTAAAGAGCATAGATTGTAAGTCAGTGATTAATTTTGTAGCATATATCTGTACACTCACGTCATAATATTAGCTCCCAATGAGTGTCACTGGCTAAATGAAAATCAACAAACAAAATACACACATACATATCATGATAAGTGAGACCTTTTAAGTTGAAGTCAGTCCACCTCGAATGGGAAGGACTCTGTTTAAGACCCCATCACTCAAGGAATATGGATGGCCATGGACACTTGCACTTGTTATCACCTTCCTTCAGGAACTTCTCTTCCAGCTGATGAATAGTCATTCATAGGAGAGAGCTCTGAGCCAGCCTTGAGCACTAAGCCCTCCATGGTGTTGAAGCATTGGCGGGAGCTAAGTAATAGGCCCCATCCTCAAGAAGAAAATGGAATTTGCCCTTGTGTTATTTCATAGTTATACTCAATGCTTACTGTCCATTATGAGGAAGAGGTCAGCACTAACACAGCATTTGTCCAGGGCCCAGCTGGCAAGAGTAGGGGATACAGACAGCAGCATCCCCTCAGAGCCCTTGGCAATCTTCCCCCTTCTTTGTCCAGGCCTCTGCAAGGCCAGCGGTTATGTTGTCTGTTGAAAAGTGATGAACATGAACAGCTGTGACACGGAATAGAGAGAAACAATTTGAATACAAGTGTACTGGATTAAATACTGTTTCTTCAGATGTGAACTGTTGCTCGTCTGCGCTTGGACCATCTTGGGCCCTGGCTCCCAGAACGAATCAGTCATACTCTCTGTGGGTAGAGCTTGAGTATTAATATTCTTAAAAGCAATCCTAGATGACTTCCTTGAAGAAGTTTGAGAACTGTGCTCCCTATTGTCCAACAGATGGGATAGTTTATTTAGGCCCCTTGTCATTCTACTCAAGGACATGAAGCTCCTTTACCTTTT